TAAGATTTCATACATTAACCTACACAAAACACCTAGAATGGTGTCTGACACATACTAAGCACACACAGTAATCTATGTAATCTGATCCTCAAAACCAAGGAGAAAACAAACTTTAGAGATAAAAGGACTGACCAAGATATATGAATAAAGAACTTACAAATCTTTCACTTGTACTGTACCTATTTAAAAAAGATTTTTAATAGATTTTTAGGGAAAGGGAGAAACATCGATGTGAGAGTGAAACACTGGCTGCCTCCTGCATGCCCCTGGGGATTCAGTCTGAAAACTGGGACACGTGCCCTGATGGGAATTGACCCCACTACCCTTCCGTACATGGGACCATGCCCAACCGAGCCACACGACCAGGACACACTTGTGTTGTACCTTTATGTCCCATCCATTTCTATGAAAGCCAGAATTCATATTTGAACTTTGTTACTGAACCTGAGGTAAGCTTAAAAGACCAGATTTAAAGACTGGTAGTAACCTAGACAAATAAAATTGAAGAACAGAAGTGAATTACAGTGAAAGCAGACAAATTAAACCTCTACCGCCAATCTACCTCTAAATTACCTTTTCCTCCTCCAGAACAAAGTCCTTACCTCTCTATTTCCTCTGCCATAACCTTATTGGAGATCAGTCCTCCTGCCTTTCGGTGGACTCCTTGCATCCATGCATGTTCAACTTCCAATATAAACTTCCTAAAACATCACTCATTATCTTACACTCCACTGTTTAAAAACATACTACACCTTACTATTTACACATGAAGTCCACATTATGGTTTTCAATGACTTTCATATATTGGTTGCATCCTAAACCCACTTTCTACCATTTGCCAACACCTCATGAGAAAGGTCGTTTTATGAGCAATTATAGAGGCTACTCTTGTGCAAATTACTAGCTGGAATGTGTCTCTCCTCTTATTTAATACTGGTATGGCCCAGCACCTCCACTTCCTATAAATGCATTTTTATACAAACAAGTGTATACAAATATTCAAGATTAGAAACAGAACATTAACATGATCTCAGATATCTTTTACATACCAATTTGCAATGCATTCCTCCTTCCCTCTTATAATCCCTTGTCTTACCACTTTATATCTTAGAAAATGTTACTTTTACATTAACTTCTTTTACAAATTGACTTAATAATATGTATTGTTACCTGCTTTTAGAAACTGATTTCAACATGAATTAAACCTACATTTCGCTACAATATACTGTTACAGTACATATATGTACTTATCTATTCTGCAACTGATGAACATTTAAGGTTGTTTCTAATTTCCTGCCTTAGCAAGAATGCTATGAAAATTTCTTGGTGCCTCATAATGTTTGTGTGCAACTGCCTCCTCCATGGTGCCTTTCCAGAATACCAGAGCCTGTACAAGGATACAGTTAAGCATTAAAATTGTTCTCACGTTTCACACCTCACAGCAAGAATATTTTAAGTACAAATGTTTGTATTTATTTGATATTGCTGTTCCTTTCCCAACCACTGCCTGCTCAAACGCTCAACTTTAAAATTTCACATTTGGTATAGGGTCTTCTCCTGTGAGTTAATATACCAAAGGAAGATGTTTAATCCCCACAAAGGGGGAGGCATACAAATCACCTTGAAAAAAATCACAAAGTTCTTCATTAGCAAACTATGATACTACAAATCAAAGAGCCTATTTCAAACCCTATTATCAACTGATTTCTTTCCATACCTGCTGCATTTATTGCTTGCCCACTATGACATCTACCATAGATGGTCTTTATTTTCCTCTATGCTCTTCTTTTCCAGCAGTATATCAATAGCAATGTCTGGGAAGAACGACACCCAGCCCCCATCCTGGGCACCCTTCTTTGTTTTTCTACTAATTAAATTCTGCTATACGATATGTAAAAAAAAAAAGAAAAAAAAAGAAAAGAAAAGAGAGAGATGTATCAAAAATCACAGGTTAATTGGGACTCTAGATCAAGAGTGTCAGACATAAGCCCTTTAAAAAACTTCCCAGAAAAAAAGCATGTATTTTATATAAATTAGGCTTTAAACTTTAGAGTAGCTTTAAAAAAAATTTTATTGACCCTGTGAAAAGGCCCACTACATAGCTAAAAATTAAAAGAGCAAAGCTACTGTCTACAACCCTTCCACCCCAGCCTGAAAGAACTTAGTATTGTCTACCCAAAGCCAGTCAAGTATACTCAGAACACGTCACAAGTGTGGGACACAAAGCAATTCTGACTAAATGAGGCATATAAAAATGAAGTACTTTTATTTTACTTATTTATTTTTAAAAATTGATTTTAGATAGGGAGGAAGGGAGAAAGGGAGAGAGATGGATCCACTGCACTCCCGTAGGTGCCCTGATGGCAATGGAACCCACGACCTCCTGACACACAGGATGACACTCCAACCGAGCCAGAAGGGGCCAGGGCCAAAACAAAGTACTTTTTAACTAAAAGAACATCTAATAAACCATTATCCAATTCTTTGGTTTTGCTCAAAACATAATTAATGGCTACAGTTCATATTGTAAACTAGTTAGCATTAGTCCCAATAATAGCAAACTTAATATTTTAAAATGAGAATGTCTTTAGATTCCAATGTTTGTCTACACAAGATAACCAGAGTATCTTACACAACAAACACTATTACTTTTTGTCACTTTTGAAAACTACACCTCAGACTAAGGAAGGTGTCTCACTTCTGGCAATTACCCTAAAAAATACATGAGGATCCTAAAAAACAAAACACCACAAAATTCTGGTCTTTTAAGCAGTTCTAACTAACATTTACAAAAAATGTTTCCTTTCACCCCTCATTACAAAAGTAAATATAATTTCTTGTGGATATTTCAGAAAAACATAAGGAAATGCAAATCACCCATAACACCTATCCAGAGCTAATATTCTGGACATATTTCTATTTTTTGTTTCACACATTCCTTTAAACAACAACGAAGTATTAAATTTGGCACCAGTAGAATTTTATTACATTTTCTTTCTTTCCAATTAATACTATATTCCATTATCATTTCCACATCATTACTCTCTTAAACAGTTTTAAATAGCTGTACAGACTTCCATTTGATGGCCACACTATAATTAGCAGATCTCCAAATGTTCAATCTCTGGGATTTTTAATATGCTTAATAACTGCGATTAACATTCATGTACATAAATCTATTACCTCCCTTGGGCTTTAATCTTCTATAAAATTAGCGATCAGAACATTTTATTTCTAAAATTATGTAATACATTTCCTTTGCATTCCTCAGTTGTTCAAATTTGTTTATCATAAACTGATTTGTAGTATTATTTAGCGTTTACACTTCCCTAAAAGCATTAGTAAAATTAGTGTTTTAATACTCCTTTAACATACGAAATTCAAATTAAGGGTGGTTAAATCCTACCGAATTAGTTCAAAATGTTAGGTAAAAGCAAAACCATTTACACATAGCTGATAAGGGAGATATGTAAAGATAATTAAGAGAAAAATTCCTCTCTGGGTAAAGTATACGCTAATGTTATAAATATATGTTAAATGCAAAGGAAGAAATGGAAATTTAAAAATTTAATGCACTTCAACACAAACATCTTCTGGCTAAAGATCGATTTTCCAAATGTTACATAACCAGCTAGAAAAATCTTCATGTAGTACTTCAATTATGTTTAATTTCGGGTTTGAAAAAAACCGTTTTTAGTTATGTGGAAAGGCACACCATAGAGCTTTTTTGCATCAAAAATCTGCCTTCCCCGCCTTTTTGATGACTAAAACAATACTAATGTTGAAAAAATTATGTCAATAGACTGCATAGATGACTAACCATTGAGTTTTTAAAAGGAAATTTTATTCTGAACATTTAATCCTCATGTTATTTTTGCCGGAGAGTACAACTGTTTGAATAAACCTGGGAGAAAACCATGTCTATTTAAAAATATTAAACCAAGCTCTGTTCAACAAGCAAAACGCAGCATCAATACAAAATCTCATGACTACGACCTGGGAAATCAACGACTCCCACATTCATTACTCCAGCGCGCTTGATAAAGACTAGAAATTTCGGAATCGCCGTAACCGTTCTAGAAATATTTAGCTGGAAAACTGTAACTCATCCAATAGGAATATTCCACAGAACAGTATAAACACCTAGAAAACATTCCTCCACGGTAAATGGGAAAATCCCCGTAGAGCGAGCATCGCACAGCGCTAGCAGCAATGAAAAGAACAGCGATGCGACTACACCACGGTACTCCAAACCCTTTGTCTGGAAACCGGAAGGTCCCACACCACACGATCCTCTCCAGGGAACCTAGACTGATAATATTTTAATAAAAGGAAAAGGAATGTGAGGCGAGCCTCTAAACCAGAACAAATCTCCTGCCTCGCAGTGTACTGCCGATGGCTTTATCCACGACGCAATGCAAAAAACAAGCGTTAACGTTTCATTTTTCGGCCATTTTTAAGCGCCTGGGGGTGGGGACGAATTGTTTCCGAGGTCCGGCTAAAATAGCGCGCGCATGTGTGTGGGCGGGGGACAGAGGAATCTTAGGGGGCGCTACGAAGTGATGGGCGAGGAGCAGAGCGAAGGCCGTGACACCAAGAAAGCGACGCTGCTCAAACCGCCAAGCCTTTCAATCTGCGAAATCCTCCATTTTAGTGCACACTTCCAGGCGCAAGAGAAAAAAAAATAAAGCAAACATGTGGAATTGGCGCCACCCAAGGACTTCCCTCGCTTAACTGTCCTCCCCAAACGGCAGGCCCCCTATGGACAGTCGGTCCCTCAGGCCTCTAGTGCTCCTCCCTTCTCAGCGCTGCAGCTCGCGTGTAACGGGCTCGTCGTCCCGCCCCCGCCCACAGAGAGCCCAGGGCGCGGGAAGCTCGGACGATTGGCTGTCCTCCGCGCCCCTCGACTCTCTCACCGCACCCCGGGCCCATGGCTGGCTGCGTGTGTCCTTCCGGGACCGCTCACCTCAGCCGCCCGAGGAGGCTGGTTGCGCCGCCACTGCGCTCCTAACATGGCGGCCGCCGTTGAGGCGGCTCACGTACGCAGCGCGGAGGGAGGCAGAGCGGACGAGCGGGAGCGAGCAAGTAAGGCGCGCCGCCGGCTCCCCGCAGCCCCTGTCGCAGTCGCTGCCTCCTCCAGGCGGACGCAGAGAACCCCCGGCCACCCCACCCCGATTCTTACCCGCTTCACGCCTACCTTAAGGAAAGGGAGAGGGAAAAGGAGAGGTACCTCTCTCCTAGCGAGCGGGACGCGGAGGCTCCCACAATCCTCCGCAGCAACGGCGCTGGTAAGAGGTGGCAGCAGCAGCAGCCGCCAAAGAGCTCACTCTCGCGAGAGCTTGCCCCCACCCACCTCGGGCCTCCATTCGGCACGCGCCAGGATCCGCCCCCTCCCTGGTGCGCGCACTGCACTCCCGCGCTCAGCGGCAGAGGTGATTCTCTAATCCAGGAGCCCGCCTGTGGCGGGAGGTAAGGAAGCAGCTACAGTTTACGGGTTCGAGTCCTATTTCCCCCCCCCCCAAAAAAACCCCTTTTCCAAACTCCTAAATTGCATGGTGTAAAATTTAAATAGGGTATGTGTTAGAAGCGAGGCTTGGGAGTCCTAGGCTTAGATCCGATTTCTATCCTCTCAGGCAAATCTGATTATTTGCGGAGGAATGGTAGGAAGCACTAGGAAGGAGGAACCTATGTCATTCTGGCTGGTTTTCAATCTCAGGAATTCTGTGGAGGACCATTGAGAGGTAAGACAGCAAACCCATCCCACCGAAAAGACCGCCACCGCCATTTGGTGAATTTGACTAAACGTAAAACACTTTGTTCTCTGTTAGTACGTGTTCAAAACAAAACAAAAACACACTAAGGCGCAATAGGGGATAAGGAGGAGCGAGCATGTGTAATGCTTTCAACAATAAAGAATTATTTTTTAAAAAAGAAACATCAATGATTAAAAAAAAAAGCACACACAAAAAAACTGAGGCGAATTTTGATAAATTGCATAGATCAGGCTGAAGGAAATGGCCATTTATTTCCCTGGGGTTTTAAATGCAAATGCAGAGGGACAGGCGTCTTCTGAAGTAAATCAGTGAATAGAAGTCCCGATTAATAGCACTCAAAATTTTTAAACCTTAAGTATGCCGAGTCAGATTCGCATCTTTGAAAAATTATCCTAGGTCCAATGTGAAGATTGTAGAGGCGCATAAATGGAGAAGACTAGAGACAAGTAGAAAACGAGATAATTTAGTAAAAAAGCAGCTAGTCCTGTTATTTGATTGGATATGGAAGATGAGGGAGAGACATGTCATGGGTGAATGACAACTCTAGGGTTAGCAGTGCTATTAAGGGGCACTGGAAGATGATTCAGCTGGGGAAACAATAAGCACATGGAATCTGACATCAATTTTTAAAGTCAGGATTGGTATTTACAGTTCTTGGGCTGACGGAAATGGGTGTGTGTTAGTGGCAAATTCAACTTGATATAAATGAAGCAATGGGAGTTGGAGGACTTAGGATCAATCCTTGGAAAACTAATCACTTGGAGTTGAATGGCAAAGGAGAAAGAGTTGGGGTTGGGGTAGAGAGGAAGCAAAAAAAAAAAATTGGCAAAAGAGAGGAGGCACAGAAATTGTGCTGCCTTGACAGCCAAAATACCTTTTATTTGATTTTAGAGAGAAAAAACCAAACATCTATCCATTGATCCACCCATTCATGCACCCATTGGTTGATTCCTGCAGGTGCTCTGACCAGAATCCACCTGCACACCAACAAACTGAACTACCTGTTCAAATTTCAAATGATGGACTAGGAAACAAAAGCATGGAGAAAATGACTTACTAACACTCTCAAGAGTGGGCGCCCATTGTACATGAACACAGCCCATTTATTTAGTCCCTCCTCCAGTTCCTCATTGGCCAAGTACTATTTGGTCACCTATTTCCTAATAGGTCTCCTACGTCTTGCTGTCTCCCATTGGGTTAAAAAAAAAATGGGCGGGGGGCCTTTTCTAGGGGAATCTTCCAAGGACAGATGCTATCAGTCACGTGCACAGCTCTCACACCCTCTTCCCAACCCCCACATCTTGTTTGCTCTGGGGAAATTCAGTAACCACTTGGCCACATGCTGCTTCTTTTCTATAATGATGAATCATAGAGGCATGTGTCCTACACCCAGTATATGGGAAGGAGGAAGATTAAAACTACCCAAAGTAGAAAAGATTGGCTATGTTTCTTGTTTTACTATGGGAAATTTTGAGCACAATTCTGTTGATAGGAAGGGTATCTTAGGTACAGATTGGTTTAAAAAACAGAAGAGGGTTAATTCATAATGGATGCTCATGTAAGAATGGGATTGGAAGGAGACATGCCTTTACTATAACAGGAAATATGAAGAGGATAGTGCTGAGTTTTCACTAGGGAATTGTTAGGGTTTGGCTGGTGATATGGGCTGTGAAAAAATTTCTTAACTAAAATAAGAGATGCAGCTGTAACCGGTTTGGCTCAGTGGATAGAGCATCGGCCTGCGGACCGAAAGGTCCCAGGTTCGATTGCGGTCAAGGGCATGTACCTAGGTTGCGGACACATCCCCAGTAGGAGGTGTGCAGGAGGCAGCTGATCGATGTTTCTCTCTTAATGTTTCTCTCTCATCGATGTTTCTAACTCTCTATCTCTCTCCCTTCCTCTCTGTAAAAAATCAATAATATATATAAAATAAGAGATGCAGAGAGGAAGTTTATTTTACTTTCCAACGGAGGAAAAAGGCCAAGTATTACTAGTCATTACAGGGCAGGAAAGATAGGGTGGCTTCTGTTTTTAAAGAGCAAGCAATTGAAGTTGCTAAGTGACAAGGGAGGCAGATTTGTGTTGAAATTGAGCAGATACCAGGTTGTCTTGAAAAGTTACTTTGCTTGCTTTTCATGAGATAGTCCAACAGATGTCCCAGGGAGACATAGTATCAATATTTCTCCCAAGCCTATAAAACATGCTGGAGCAAAAGTTATGAAGAGGTCAAAAGAGGCTTGTTTGAAGAGGAGGTGGGAAAGGGAAATTTATATTAACTAGAGACACCTTGGTGTGAATTATCCTTGAGTTGTGAAAACAGCAGGGAGGAGGGGGATGCAAGAATGTAGCCTTGCCCTAGCCCAGTGGTTGGCAAACTGCGGCTCGCGAGCCACATGCGGCACTTTGGCCCCTTGAGTGTGGCTCTTCCACAAAATACCGACTTCTGCACATGGGCCACGAAGTTTCAATCGCACTGTACGTGCGCGCCCGCACGTGGTATTTTGTGGAAGAGCCACACTCAAGGGGCCAAAGAGCTGCATGTGGCTCGAGAGCCGCGGTTTGCCGAAGACGGCCCTAGCCGGTTTGGCTCAGTGGATAGAGCATTGTCCTATGGACTGAAGGATCCCAGGTTCAACTCCGGTCAAGTTGCAACTTGACCCAGGTGCAACTCCTTCAACTTGGTTGCAGGCACATCCCCAGAGTGTACCCAGCCATCAGAGGGAGGGAAACATAGAAACATCAATGAGAATCAGAGATTAGCTGCCTCCTGCACCCTGCACCCTGGGGATCAAGCCCACAACCTGGGTATCTGCCCTGACTGGAAATCAAACTGTGACCTCCTGGTTCATAGGTCAATGCTCAACCACTGAGTAACGCTGGGCAAGTGTGGGAAACCGCCTAGTGTCTTCACTAGCAGAGAGGTGTAGACAGAGAACCCTGAAGGCTGGTGACCTTTGAAGCCCTAGCAAAGGTCAGAGCTGTGCACCACCTCTGTTAATCCAGATAATGGTAGCTGAAGCAACCTCCCCACCTTTAGGCATGTAAATCCTTATTGATAAGAATAGTCTGTGTGTCACTGGAACCTCCCAGCCTAAGGGCTATACTATGGGTCGATCCCAAACCAAATAAAAGGTTGGTGTGGCCAGAGCACCAGTGGAAGTCTTTCCTCTTGAGTTGGACTTACCCGCCTGGCCCCCCAATATTTCCAAATTATCTCTTGTCTCTTCTTTCATTTGTGTGCCGCTCCTCTTCCAGATCCTGAACCCTGAACCATGCGGGACGTGGAGGGAAACATTTACAACAGGCAAGAATAGAGGAGCGGTTTGAATCAGAGGAACCAACAATCTTAGGGCTTAATTACCAGGTGCTTCTAAATTGTGGAAGGCCACAGCAAAGAAGAGAGGCCTTATTTTTTTTTCCTTACAAGAATTATAGTCAGGTGACTAAAATTTTCTGTGATTAAGTTACCTGTTGAGAGGTCTAGAGTTGTACCTGGGGAAATTTTAAGTAACCCCTGTAGAGCAGAACTACAATCCCACATCTCCATGATTTCCTACAGGTTTTGAAAAGGCATTTCGAGCTCCTCTGAATAAACGATGTTTAAGCCCACACTACAAAGCTTTGGAATGAAATTTTGGGGCTCCTAATTCTCCAGAGAATTTTGGGTCTTCCACTCAAAACCAGATGCTTTTTACTGAAAATCTGATTCCAATTTATCTTGGTTAAGACTTCCCTTTATGTTGTCCACAGTTATTTGATGGCACAAGCTCTGCTCCTCCAGAGACAGAAACATGCATTTACTCATGCTTTTGTGTAAGGTTGTAATGCCATCTGGTGATTCAAAGAAGAAAACTCAAACTTTTTCAGTTGAGTAATTATTTATTGAGGATCTGCTTAGTGCAGTGGTTCTCAACCTTCTGGCCCTTTAAATACACTTCCTCATGTTGCGACCCAACCATAAAATTATTTTCGTTGCTACTTCATAACTGTAATGTTGCTACTGTTACGAATCGTAATATAAATATCTGATATGCAGGATGATCTTAGGCAACCCCTGTGAAAGGGTCGTTCGACCGCCAAAGGAATCTCGACCCACAGGTTAAGAACCGCTGGCTTAGTGGCTCATTAGCAAATATACCTTGGAAGCCAAATATAAGATTTCTCATGTTTGTGTTACTAGAGATTGGATGTGCTGTGCATCAAGGATGGTAATGATGGTACAAAGCAAGAATGCCTACTGAGACTTTGAAAGGACTAAGTGAAAAGTTTGGTAAAGCTAGTCTAGCTAATAAAAGTAATATGCAAATTAAC